GAGACCTGGCCATTATTGGTCACTGCTATGAGGTCTCTAAGCACGGGATTCTCATCATTTCCAAGGGTCTGCAAGGCAAAGAGAAGAAAAGAGCTTGACCTCTTCAGTCTTCTCAGTCTGCTATGCATGCCAAAGGTCTTGGGGATGCGGGTAGATTTTTGTCTACTGCTGACATCAAACAAGATATTTCGTGATCCCCCCCCCAATTATCGAGTGCACAGTTTGGATAAGGCCAAGGGATCTTGTGCTGGAACTGTGCGGATAGTCACTAGAGAGATTCATGGCCCTCTGGCTATCTAGAACTCTGCAAGGACTGTGCCACATTAGTATACAGGGATCTATATTTGAATGCCCTCCCAAGTTACTAAAAGTTACATATGTGGAAAGCCAGCATGTCAGGTTGAGAGTTCCCCAGCCTGGCCCCTGAGGTACTAACTTTCCCTTGCAGAGAGACCGTGATGAGCCTTAAAATATGAATTATCCCACCTGAAAGGGTGCACTGTAGGTTTTACTGCACTTTTGAAATGCCACTGACTCGTGATGTAACATTTTAGAATTAGATGCCTCGGAGAAGGAAGAAGCCTCCTGGGGTGGGGGCTTTGTTTTATGTAATGGGGTGGGGGATAGATTCCCCACACACCCCGGAAGTGAAAAAAGGGAGATTGGGGAATTAAGCCTTTTTTTAACCTGATCTGACATGCTGCAGCGGAAAGAGAATCTTAGTAAAGATTAAAAAGAAGAAGCTGAGTCTTTCTATCCCCTTCGGTCATAGATCCAGAGGAGTTAGCCATGTTTGTCTGTTGCTGCAAAATGGTAAAAAGCCCAGTGGCATCTTTAAGACTAACAAACTTTACTGTAGCATAAGCTTTGGAGAAACACAGCTCTCTTCGTCAGACGCATCTGGCAAAGAGAGCTGTGTTTCTCGAAAGCGTATGCTACAGTAAAGTCTGTTAGTCTTAAAGGCGCTACTGGGCTTTTTACTATTTTTCCATCCCCTCTTGATTCTCAGTTTTGCATATATGTAAATACATTTGTCACATACGTGACACAATAACAGAAGGGGAGTTGAGCTGCGCTCTCTCTGTATGTTTTGGGTCTGAATCTGAAAGCATAATGTGAATATACTACACATTTTTGCGGTCCTTTCAAAGGGGTCGCATTGAGTATTGTGGACAGAGTTTACTAATCATGAGCCAGACAGAAACAAGTTTCGGGGGAGGGGGGTTATCCACGGACGGAAGGATGATGGGTCTTTCCCAGGCTCCTCCCTGCCACCTCTACTACCATAGCCGTTTCTGGCCCTGGGACAGCTCGTTCCCAGGGTAATCGCCTTGCAGGTCAGGAGCTTGTTGTGGGGGGCACTGTACTCTTCTGACCCAGGAAGGACGTTTCTTAGGGTCAGACAGGGCTGCTGTGGGGAGGAGAACATGTGGAAAAATCAGCTGATGGATCACTGAGTCCAACCCAGGTATGTTTTTCACTTCAGAGTCCTGCAATCTTCGTTTTGGCTTGCTTGTACTAAAGACAGAAGCTGGCACTTTGTGTTAAAACGATAGAACAGGTTATTTCCTACTTGTAAAAAAGACTTTCTCTTTTTCCCTTCTCCAACACTGATAGGCACCAGCTGCTGAAGTATCTGACGATAAGGAAGCCAAGTCCGAGTAACAACCTTTGCCCTGTTCATTTCCATCATCCGGTATCCATACCTCCATACTGTATTGTTAAGAGAGGAATATTTTTATCAACTATTTTATAAATGCAGGTTTTTTTAGCATGAATTTAATCATGGAACATCTTCATCTCTGTTACTTGGGACTTAAACAACAACAAAAAAACGACAAAAAATCTTTTGTTTTTAAAATTTTGTGATTGTCATAGTTTGTATGGTACCTGGAAAGAATCAGTGGTGGTAGCTATTGACTTCTGTCAGTATATAATCCCTTTGTGTGTAAGTCAGGCAGACTTCAGATTTTAATTTCACCCTTGTTATGTGTCGTACGGTTTCTTAACGTGGGGAGGTCTCCAAAAAAAAAAAAAAGTACACAAAATAATTGCGTCAGACATTCCGGTGGTTCTGTGGGTTGCTTTTATAAAGAAGGTGAGCTATTTTCATGAAAAAAAAAATCCTAAGAAGCTGGAAATCTTGTTGTATCCCAAATGTAGTTTTATTTTGTCACATTTTGGAGAAGAAGAATAACGGGGGGGAAAGTGTAATCGTGTTTTTAAATGAAATACAAAAAAAAATTCTTTTAGAAAAAAAGGCAGGTTGGCTGAATATACCCACTGTTAGGAATTTTGCTGGATTTATCTTAATAAAAAAAGACTCCTCGAAAGAAGCATTGTAGCTTTGATTGCTTATGTGGCAGTGATGTGTTTCTGTACTCGGGATGACAGCCGCTTCACCTGCAAAGGGAGGGTGGGGTGTGTGTGTGGGGGGGCAATGTTCCCTCTAAGCTGAGTTAGTGTGAGCCAGCTCACAGTTTTTTAGCCTCCGGCTCACACATTTTTGTCTTAGTTCAGGAAGGATGGCTCCAGAGCAAACTAATTGATGCAGCAGCAAAATCGCTCGCTCCCAACGTCCATGCCAGTAGCTCACAAAGAAGAATTTTTGCTCACAGGACTCCGCAGCTTAGAGGGAGCATTGGTTGGGGGGGGTGAGCTGTCCTATTGGAACCAGACAAGACTGGCCATCAAGGTTGTCAGCTTCCTGGTGGTGGTGGTGGAAAGTGCCGTCAAGTCGCAGCCAACTTACTGCAACTTCATAGGATTTTCAAGGCAAGAATCTTTCAGAGGTGGTTTGCCATTGCTTGCCTCTGCCTAGCAACCCTGGTATTCCTTGGTGATCTCCCATCCAAATACTAACCAGGACCTCCTCTTCTCTGAAATCTGACGAGATCGGGCTAGCTTTGGCCATCCAGGTCATGGCGTCTGCTTCCTACAGGAGGGGTAACAATCCTGGGACTGTATCCTATATTTTACCCGCGGTCCTGAGACTGTCCGACTCAGGGGCAGAACTGTATCACCCTAGTTACAGCCCTGAATGCTGGAAAAAGAAATGCATCAAGCATTTGAATTTGTAAATGGACCTTTTATCAGGTGGGCTTAGGCTTGGGTGTTTGTTTTGACTTCTGATTGCTATGGAATATATAGAACTGAGAGGTTCAAGTCCAGTAGCACCTTAAAAAACCAACAAGACTTTCGGGGAATGAGATTCCTAGAGTCAAAGCTTCCTTCGTCATATTTCAAAAGGCTACCCTCTGAAACTAGATATAGAATTGTGCCAGCAACAGAAAGCTGCCATAGGCATGCAAATAATAACATTCACCCAAAATTGAACAAGTAGGTATCTTAGCACCATAAATCTGAAAAGATTGGAAGAAACTTGGAAAAGAGGGATAGGTTGTCTTCAGTTGCTTACTTTCTGCCTTTAGAATGAATCTTGGAGGTCTTTAACGTCATATGCCACTCAGATACTGTGGTTTTTTTTGGCAATACTGCATTGTTCGTTTGTTACATCCAGACCACATGTTGTGGTTTATTTCTTAGTCATAAACCAGGACTAAACCACAGGCTAACATTAGTGTCAGAACCCACAGCTTACAACAAAGTACACTCATTCAGGAACGGTTATACGTTTATTGCAAAGCTATAGATGCAGTAACACAGGCACTGTTAAGAATGGCGGCAACCCATTGAGCATAATAGGATATAGGACATTCGTATGCACCCCCCCCCCATGGCATGGGCCAATTAGCTACCCTCCCGTGCGCGGGACCAGCTAGGAAACCGTTAGGTGGCGAAAGCTGGGAAGCAGTAGTCTCTCACGGTGGATGGGAGACTTCCAGACAATACAACCTCCAACACAACATCCTCCTGCACATCTGTAGAGATAAGCATTGCGGCACAGGCAGAACAGCAGAGATAGGAATGCAATAGCAATTACCAAGACACAGAATGAACTCCCCAACCCCCATGGCAGCATAGCTGACAATTAGCTATGTAGACAAACTACAGTTTGTGGGCAAGATATAATGACAAGCTGAGGTTTGTTACGAACCAGCAAGTCTTCAGTCCCTGAGCCATGTGCAAAGGAAGAGAATGCACAAGACTGAGACCATTTAAGGTTTATTTTAGGAACGAAAAGAGACATTTGCCATGACATCAGAATTCATCTTCTGTTTTCACATCATGAACATCTGTATCCGTCATGGAAATTTACATTTTCATTCATATAAATATGTATTTGAAATCAGTGGAATCTACTTCCAATGGGATTTATTTCTAAATAAGTAGGGATTCTTTTAAAAAGCTGTTAAAGCTACAATCACAAACAATGCCAGTGACAAAGAAAAAGTGGGAAGACACCTACAAGAAGTCAAAGTGGCCAAATAAAAAGATAAATGATGTGCTGAAAATAAAAAAAAACTATTGAAAAAGGAAGATGGGACATGTTACTAGAGATATCTACAGGCAAGTAGCCTGGACTCGGCTCAAGACAGTTTTAAGTTAGGACTGCATTTAAAGGAGTCCTAAATTGTGATTTTAAATTGTGATTTTGTTTTTTAATGTAATATATTTTATGCATTTGGTAATAATGTAAGCCGCCTTGAGCTCTGTAAGCAACAAAGGTGGCTAATAAATATTTTTAATAAATAAAATAGTGCCAGGAAAGCGGAAGTTCAAAACAAGCTGAGGTTAGTATGGAATGGGAAGAACAAAAGGAGGTGGAGGGGGGGTTCAAGTATGTTTGCAGTAAAAAGAGGAGAAAGGAAATGGTAGACCTGCTGCTCCATGAGGATGGAGAAATGGTGACAAAGGAAAGGCAGAATTACCCAAGTCCTGCTTCCCCCCAACTTCTTCTGAAAAAGGAACTAAGTGCAGCCTTAGCAAAAGTAGCGTGACCGATGAGGAACAGGATTGCAGCTCAAAGACTGATAAATTGGTCGAGGAATATCTAGCTACTATGAATGAGTTCAAGTTGTCTGGGCTGGCTAAATTTGCACTGTAGGGTATTAAAGAGATTTCCAAGTGTACCTCTGGAACCTCTCTCATGTTTGAGAAATCCTGGAAGTACATGGAAGCAGTGTTCCCTCTAAGCCGAGTTAGTGTGAGCTAGCTCACAGTTTTTTAGCCTCCAGCTCACACATTTTTGTCTTAGCTCAGGAAGGATGACTCCAAAGCAAACTAATGTATGCAGTAGCCAGATCGCTCGCTCACAACTTTAATGCCAGTAGCTCACAAAGTAGAATTTTTGCTCACGAGACTCCACAGCTTAGAGGGAACATTGCATGGAAGTACTACAGGTGGGCAAATGTCATCTTCGAAATGGAAAACGGAAGATCTGGAAAACTGCAGGTTGGACAGTTTTGACTTGATAGCATGGAAAATAGACTTTAAAGCAATCGGCCCGAAAGTGTCTTGAAAGCCATGCAGTGCCCAGAGGGAGACGCAGAGCAGCCTGGTGGGAAGAGGAGGATTGGGGTGCTCACTGAACCCCTCTCCTTCGCAGGCTGAGGCCCAAGGAACCCTTGCAAGGTAGGCTGCAAGCAAGCCTAGCCACACTTGGGGGTGCCGTGGATGGAGTATCCCTTGGTTTCGGCAAGGCGTTTCACGAAACCCCCCCATGATAACTGATTGGCAAACTGATTAAATGGAGGATAGATGATATTGCAATCAAGTGGATTTACAGCTGATTGGAAAACGACTCAAAGGCTGCTTATCGATGGTATTTCATAAACCTGGAAAGAAGTCTTGAGTGGGATTCTACAGACATCTGTCCTGGGCTTAGTATTCTTCAACACTTGTTTTTTTTTCTTCAATAGCTTGGATGCAGGGATGGAGGGAACCCTTACCCAAATGTGCAGTTGATACAAAACTGGGAGGGATCGTTAACACCACAGGAGACAAATACAAATGTCACTGATGGGTTGGAAAGCTGGGCGGAAACGGATTGATTTCGTCTTATTAGAGACAGATGCAAAGTTCTGCACGTTAGGCAAAAAACCAGCAACAACAAAAAGCAAGTGCACAGGTATACGATGGCCAACCTCTGGCTCGGCAATAGTATGGCATGCATTTAAAGCATCTCAGACTGCTGAATTGTGTGGCAATCAACCACAATGTGATGTAGCTGCAAAACTAAGATAGCTAAAATGATTTTAGGATGCACTGACAGAAGCATGTTATATAGGTCATGAGAAGCCATAGTTCTGTACTCTGCACTAGTCAGACGACATCCGGAGTACTAGATCCAGTTTTGGGTGCTATACCTTAAGGAAGACATAAATAAACTGGGAAAAGGTTCTGGAGATGGTGACAAAGGATAGGGATGTGGGAAAATGTTATGCAGGGAAAGGAAGAAACTGGGTATGTCTAGGTTGGAGAAGACTTGGGGGGGAGAGAGGCGCTTCAAACACCTGAGGGGCTGCTGCATTGAAGAGAGCAGAGACTAACACTGCAAACCTATGCAGAGAGCCAGTTTGGTGTAGTGGTTAAGTGCGCGGACTCTAATCTGGGAGAACTGGGTCTGATTTCCCACTCCACTCGCAGCTGCTGGATGACCTTGAGCAAGCCATAGTTCTGGCACAGCTGTTCTTAACAAAGAGCAGATTCTGTCAGCTCTCTCAGCCCCACCTACCTCACAGGGTGTCTGTTGTGGAGAGGGGAAGGGAAAGGAGTTTGTAAACCGCTCTGAGACTCCCTTGGGTAGTGAAGGGTGGGGTATAAATCCAATCTCTTCTCTTCATCTTCTGCAGTCTATCCACTGATGTCAGTAGGCTTAGACTGGAGTATCTCTGCACTGGATTGCACTGTTACTCTCTGCGACTCCAGTGGGTAAGACTAGATCTAATAGGCTTCATTTACAGGAAGGTAGTTTTTGGTTGAACGCTATGAGAAATTTTGGAACAATAGTAGCAGTCCCATGATGGAACCAGTTACAGGATGGAGGGGCTCTCCCTTGCTGGAAGTTTTCACACAGAGGCTGGGCAGCCATCTGTCATCGATGCCCTAGTTTAGGATTTCCTGAACAGAGCAGGG